ATGGAGTGGTCCAGCTTAAACCAATTGCCTGTATTGACTCTGGCCAATTAATTTCTTTCTATTTTTAATAGAGACAGGGTCTCACTCTTGCTAAGGCTGGTCTCGAACTCCTGACTTTGAGCGATCCTCCCGCGTCGGCCTCCCAGAGTGCTGGGATTACAGGCATGAGCCACCGCCCGGCCTGCCTGTATTGACTCTGAAAACTCAGTTTCCATCTTCTGCCCCTTTGTATGTCTTGATTCATTGAACAATTTCTGATGTACAGCTTAGCAGTAGGGACTCTTCATACAGTGCTCCTTTAAACCGATTGCGCCCAAGAGGTCTAGAAGATAATGAATGGAAAAGATTCTGAACCTTGAAATCATGTGTCTTTCCTAACCCTCCTTTACAGTTGCTGGTATCTTGGGATTTGGCCTGGGAAAGGTGTCCTACATAGGGGTGTGCCAGAGTAAATTCCACTGCTTCGAAGATCAACTCCGGGGAGCTGGGTTTGGCCCACAGCATAACAGGTTTGTGATCGGTTTGATCGAGGGATTGTAATGAAGATAATTACTAGAGATTAAATGAAAGATTACCCATTAGTTTTTAATATTAAACACATTTTTGGCCGGGCGTGGTGGCTCATGCCTGTCATCCTAGCACTTTGGGAGGCTGAGGCGGGAGGATCGCTCGAGGTCAGGAGTTCGAAACCAGCCTGAGCGAGACACCGTCTCTACTAAAAATAGAAAGAAATTAATTGACCAACTAAAAATATATATACAAAAAATGAGCAGGGCATGGTGGCGCATGCCTGTAGTCCCAGCTACTCGGGAGGCTGAGGCAGGAGGATCGCTTGAGCCCAGGAGGTTGAGGTTGCTGTGAGCTAGGCTGACGCCACAGCACTCACTCTAGCCTGGGCAACAAAGTGAGACTCTGTCTCAAAAAAAAACATTTTTAAGCTCATATGTTAAGAAACGTTTATGACCCTCGAGTTTCAAGTTGTTGCTATCTAACTTCAATAATAATTACTTATTATTTAACTTAGTTGCCTATTTAATTTGCTCAATAAGTATTTAATGAGTTCCTACTATGTTCAAGGCATTATACAAGTCTTTAAAGAAGATTCTCAATAACTGTTTGTTGAATTGAGTTTGTAAGATTCTCAAACTTTAATGCTGGGAAAAACCTCGAGATGACTAACTATTCCATGAATGTGGATATTATTCTAGAACAAAGCTATGCATTTTCCTTGGTATTATCCTAAAAAAAAAAACCAGTACAAGTTAGGCAAACTATAAACCAGGAATTCTGGAAATGTCATTAACTTTTTTAATTTAAAAAATTATGTTGCTTTAAAACACCACTTCAAAAAAAATAATAAAAAAAATAAAAAATAAAAAATTATGTTTGTATACGTATGCACATGTGTGTCCAAACCTAACTCCATAGTTACATGTTAACTACTGGATAAATGCACTGTGCATTTATGAGTTTTTTTTTATGCTATTAGTAGAAATTACTCAAACTCCGAAAGAATCATGATATTCAACCCTTGTGTGACCCTGACCACCAATACAACCATCTGTTTCAACATAAAGATCATTATTGGCTTGTTTGTTTGTTTGTTTGTTTGTTTGTTTGAGACAGGGTCTTGCTCTGTTGCTCAGGCCAGAGTGCAGTGGTACAATCATAGCTCATGACAACCTCAAACTCCTGGGCTCAAGCGATCCTCCTGCCTCAGCCTCCCTAGGAGCTGTTACAGGTGCACACCACCACACCTGGCTATTTTTTTAAAATTTTTTGTAACAATGGGGTCTTGCTATCTTGCCCAGGCTGGGCTTGAACTCCTGGCCTCAAGCCATCCTCCTGTCTCAGCCTCCCAAAGTGCAGTGATGACAGGTGTGAGCCACCATGACTGCCGATTATTTCATGAATTTCTGGGTTTCTTAAACCAAGAAGCAAGTATTATTTCTGAAAAAATTAGGATATCGAACTTTAGCATAGAAAATGTCCCTAAATGATACTGTGTTAAGACTAAGGAGCTTCCAGGGTCAAAGCACAAACTGCTGTTTTTGCTTCTCTTCCAGGCACTGCTTGCTCACCTGCGAGGACTGCAAAATCAAGCGTGGATTAAGTGAGAAGCCGGGTTCTCAGCCTTCAGCTTCCTAGACTCTGTGCCTGTGGCTTTTGAAGTTTTTTTAAACTTCTGATTTGTACACATTTAAACTTTTAAATGTACTCTAAAATAAAATAACTCCCAGCGGAACAAAAACACGGTGATTCTCTCACTGTTTTGAAATGCTTTCTGCGGAAGGCTGTGGATTGAATGGAACATTCCATGGGTTTTTTTTTTTCCTGCACTTTTAAGAACCCTAACCCTAACATGGAACCATGTTTCACATTTGCACATAAAAAAAATGATGTTGCTCACTTCCTTGCTTACAGCTAAGTGAAAGAGTTTAGAGTCTTCTCTTGTCAGCTGGTATTCATTCCCTGCTCTCCTTGTTTTTTTTCCCCCCAATATTTTAAGTTCTAGGATAGAGGAAGGAATACATGTTAAGGAAGTTAGGAAGTCATGAGCCAAAGAAAATGAATGTGTATGGAGACAGAGATACAGGGCAAGACTGCATCTTTTTTTTTTTTTTTTGAGACAGAGTCTCGCTTGTTGCCCAGGCTAGAGTGAGTGCCGTGGCGTCAGCCTAGCTCACAGCAACCTCCGACTTCCTGGGCTCAAGCGATCCTCCTGCCTCAGCCTCCCAAAGTAGCTGGACTACAGGCATGGGCCACCATGCCGGCTAATTTTTGTATATACTTTTTATTGTCAATTAATTTCTTTCTATTTATAGTAGAGACGGGTCTCACTCTTGCTCAGGCTGGTCTCCGAACTCCTGACCTGAGCGATCCTCCTGCCAGGCTCCCAAGAGTGCTAGGATGACAGGCGTGAGCCACCACGCCCAGCGTTGGGAAAAATATTTCACTGGAAAGGGTCACAGTATGAATCACCTGTATCTGTCCTGTTGGTGCTCTAGGTGTGCGGTCCCCAACCCCGGGTCTGCAGCCTGTTAGGGACCAGGCTGCAGATCTCTGGGGCTCCCCAGCCCCTCACCCCTGTGTCTCCCACTCTACCCCAACCCATGGAAAAATTGTCTTCCATGAAACTGGTCCCTGGTGCCAAAAAGTTTGGGGACCGCTGCTCTAGGCGACTTCATAGTTCATCAGTATGGTGGAGGTTTGGAAATACCTATCACCTTTAGAGTTACCTGCTTAGCTAGTGGGTGCATGCTCATGATCAGCTCACAAGAATGGGGTTCTGTATATACTCCCAGTGGCCTGAAAGAATAAACACAACTTCCCAAACTCTCCCTCCTTCTCCCAAAAAACAGCTTACTCATGGGAGGAAACGCTGGGAGAATCGTGCATAGAATGCTAAACTCTTAGAGCTTTAGGGAGTTCAGACGCAGCCAATGCAACTCCAAGAGTGGGACTCTTATTCTCAAGCAAGGTTTGTTGCATGAAAAGAAAAAAAAAACAACCTTCCATTTGGGAACCTTTTGTCTCATGGCAGGTTGTCTGAATCCTACACAAAACCTTGTCTTGCATCTTTGCATCTTAGGAGAGTGCTTTATATACGTCACCATTTATATATAAGGGCTGTGTGTGTCTACACATTTGTGTTTTACTTCATATACTTAATGCATTTGGAAGCCTGTACTGTGAAGGTAAAAAGGGAAAATTCATCAAAAGTTAATATTTGGCCTCGCGGGTGGCTCACGCCTGTAATCCTAGCACGCTGGGAGGCCGAGGCGGGAGGATCGCTCAAGGTCAGGAGTTCGAAACCAGCCTGAGCAAGAGCGAGACCCCGTCTCTACTAAAAATAGATGAGTATGTACGAACACAATGAATGAGATGTGCAATGTTTGGGGGATGGTCACGCTTGAAGCTCTGACTTGGGGGGGGAGGGGGCAACCTTAACATTTGTACCCCCATAATATGCTGAAAATTAAAAAAAAAAAAAAGACATTAATTGGCCAACTAAAAAAATAGAGAGAGAAAATTAGCCGGGCATGGTGGCGCATGCCTATAGTCCCAGCTACTCGGGAGGCTGAGGCAGGAGGATCGCTTGAGCACAGGAGTTGGAGGTTGCTGTGAGCTAGGCTGACGCCACGGCACTCTAGCCCGGGCAACAGAGACTCTGTCTCAAAATAAATAAATAAATACTTGACATGAAATATTTTAAGTATCAAAAATATTTGGAATTTGCTCTACATGCCTCTCATGAAAACTGAAGAAAAAAAATTTTTAAAAAAGAAGAAAAAAAATTTTTTAAAAAAGAAAAAAATATTTGGAAGTTTTCATTCTTACATGAACATGAAGCATATGAAATGGAATGATTTTTACTAAGCCTCTTCTTATACTATATATCCTGGTTTTTTTTGTCAATAAAGTTCTAGTTCTGTAAATGAGAATGCAAAGCCAATATCCTGACTTCTTGGATGCAGTTGAACTCTTGGCTCTGACAGCTAGCAAATTGGGGACTTTTTAAAATCTGAGTTAGCTACTGGCAAAAATTCAGAATCGGGTGCATTTATTTCCTGCGTCCCAGAAAATGATTTCGCAGGACCAGAACATTTTCACATTGCTGAGCACTGCAATGCTCAGTGCTGGGAATGCTGGGAAAATATGCGTTTATTATTGTTGAAAGGAGCATTGTTTCTATTGCTGACATCTTCATAGTTCCCCTCAACCAAACTGGGTTTATTGCTTAAGCTTTCTGCTTTCTCTGAGAAGTTATTCACTGAAGCAGTTTATCATGGTGAACTATATAAGTGTAGAAGGAAATCAATAAGGGAAAAACTGGAAGCTCATCCAAGATGGCTCCATCATTCTGATGGGTATCTATAGTACATATTAGGAAACAAATATCTAGGGGGGAATGTCTTGGGTTGAAGAAACAGCACCATCTTTCAGCACTTAGCAATTACCAATACTCATCACCAGGCTGATCACAAGCTTATGAAACCAGGACCTTCAAAATGGGAAAAGCAAATCTTGGCCAAGAACAGCAAGAGAAAATTGTAGATAAGCTTACATTAAAGAAAGAACTCATGTGGGACCACATGGTGTGTAAGTTGGATGTCTAGCCAACTGTATTGGCAAACTTTCCCTAGAATGATACGAACTAATACTCTGGAGTGAAGAAAATGGAAAATATCTCATAATTTTGAATTTCATTAATGGAATTTAAAAATGTAATATTAATCTACTCTATCCATGGATTCACCTATAAGAAGAGACAAACTTGATATCTGAAATTAACAACCCTTGTCTAATGTATGTGTTGTTCCTCTAGACAACATGGAGAAATGTTTTTAACACAGGACAATGACACTAATGAGAATAAAATCTTTATCCAACCAGAAAACATCAAAATGATTTTTTATTTTTTTATTTTTTTTTGAGACAGAGTCTCACTCTGTCACCCGGGCTAGAGTGCCGTGGCGTCTGACAAACTCACAGCAACCTCAAACTCCTGGGCTCAAGTGATCCTCCTGCCTCAGCCTCCCCAAGTAGCTGGGACTACAGGCATGCACCACCATGCCCGGCTAATTTTTTCTATATATTTTTAGTTTACCAATTAATTTCTTTCTGTTTTTTAGTAGAGACAGGGTCTTGATCTTGCTCAGGCTGGATTCGAACTCCTGACCTTGAGCAATCAGCCTGCCTCGGCCTCCCAGAGTGCTAGGATTACAGGTGGGAGCCACCGCGCCTGGCACAAAATGATTTAATTCTTTATATCCATGTTGACACTCCAGTGATGCCTAGACGTGTGTTTCTGTCTTGGCTTACACATGGGTGGATGACTGTTAAGAATTCTTTCAAGATAATTTTAATGTCTAAGGCATTGCCCAAACATGGAAGCCCTGCTAGCTAAGGTGATCATTTATTTCTAAATTTTGCCTTAGTTCCTGTGATCCTGGTGTTCAAAACTTATTGCTGTAGTTAAACTGTATTCTGTAGGTAATGTATGTTTCACAATTTTCAAAAACAATGGAATAATCCTTTTGTGACTGTTTCTCTTATCAAAATAGATCAGAACTTCCAGGAAGATTTATATATTATATTGCATACTATATATATGTAACATATATAGCATAGGATATACTGTATATGTTTATATATTTAAAAATTTCTCATTTAAACAAAGATATTATCTTCATTTGCTGCCAGAATAGATGATTCATCTATTTTCTGTCAACGTTATGAAAGTAATAAAAAACTTACCTCGAATGATTTGATTAATGAAATGCAATGCAAGTGTCATGTAATTTTCTTAGTGTGCAAACAATGCAAGCTGTTAACTGACAGAAACTTTCCCACTTTGGAGTTCTGCCTCCAAATTTCTACCATAAAATTTGATTATGTAGACGGAGTTGGCAGAGAATTCCATGATTAACCCCGAGGCTGCAAAGTCTAGAATCAGATGATGTGATTGAGTAAAGTGGGACTAGCAGCATATCAAACAGTGGTGTGTTCTTCACTTCAGCATGGACAGATATATGGGCCCCCTGCTGTCAAATGCTCCAATTTTTCAACAAGACAAGTGCAAGTTTTTGGCCGGGCGCGGTGGCTCACGCCTGTAATCCTAGCACTCTGGGAGGCTCAGGCAGGCAGATTGCTCGAGACCAGGAGTTCGAAACCAGCCTGAGCAAGAGCGAGACCCCGTCTCTACTATAAATAGAAAGAAATTAATTGGCCAACTAATATATATAGAAAACATTAGCTGGGCATGGTGGCGCATGCCTGTAGTCCCAGCTACTCGGGAGACTGAGGCAGGAGGATCGCTTGAGCCCAGGAGTCTGAGGTTGCTGTGAGCTAGGCTGACGCCACGGCCCTCACTCTAGCCTGGGCAACAAAGTGAGACTCTGAGTGAGACTCTGTCTCAAAAAAAAAAACAAAAAAAAACAAGTGCAGGTTTTTCCGTGAAATCTCCTGGTTTTAACACACTCTTCCACATATTCGAATATTGAGCACCCACTCTGTGCCAAGAACTGTCTTAGGTCCCGATTGTGTCCAGTGAATACAACCAACAAAATTCCATCTTTCTGGGGCTTATATTCTCATCAGCAGTTTTTGGCTTGAGATCCAATTCAACCTCCCACCACCCACAGCGGAAGTCCCCTCTGCACTGCCTGGGCAGGTAGAATTTCAGGACCTACATACGTACTTCCAGGAGAAAGACACCCACTCACAGCGGGACACAGTATGCTGCCCAGTTGTTAAAT